ACTATTTAAGGCCAACCATATTGTTCTTTTAATGCGTATGTTTGACTATGCTCCCGGGAGGAACCTGACCTCTTTCAAACAGAAAACGTACAGTTAGAAGGCGGTAGATAATTTCCAATAAATGGTCACCTTGGACCAGACGGAGTGTCTCAGCTTTCTGGTCTCAGAAAACATGTGCAAATCATATGAGAAATTAATGGATATGTATTGTCCAAAAAGTAGACGCTAGAGTTCTCAGGGCCTGAATTCAGAAGGATGGGGTAAATGTTAGAAAAGTTTATGGTCTATGAATAAACCAGCGCTATCCACTTCTCCACCTGTGACGTCACTCGTTTAATTTCATGACTAACTGATCCGTGTATATCCTCTTCTTTCTTTTAGAAAATATTATAGATCAATCTTCAAGCCATATTTGTTCTAGGCATGGGAAGAATCATAAGCACCCTTCAGAGTACTTTGCCCAGGAGCGGGTATAAACAAAAACACCGCTTTTTGATGATAAAACCTAAAACACCGACTTTCCACCTATCTATCACTGGCCAGACATATTCATTCACATATGGACAGATAACAACCTCAAGTTAAGAAAAGGGTATCTTTAATCCCCGAGAAGAGTCGCCCTGATAGCTCTATTCCTTCCTATTTACATGGGATCATAAAACAGATGTGATAGGAGAGAGCAGATGTCCTTCATACCACTAAGTTGTCCTGTTGAGTCTCCAGTTCTAATGGACATAATGTGGTTTAGTTTACTCACTCGCTCACTAGAGTAGCAATATACAACACGGCTGGAAAGTGTGGCCAAGCTATTGAAGCTGACTAATGAAAACCTCTCAATGGCTATCGAGTTTTGGTGATCACTACGTTAGTAGTTACTATTGGAGCATGGCTCTCCGGTTCAGGACTAAAGGTTCAACTCTCTGGCACCATGCATGGTGGCCAATCTTGCTGATTCACCAGTATGTCTCAATTTCACCTGTTCAGGGCCGTTGAATTTTTAGGCACTGCGGTTAATGTAACCATTGTCATCACACTACTTTCCACTTGTTTACAAAAATATAGAGGTACAGGGAGTTTCGTCAGCCAGGTATAGGGAATGTGATAGGTGCTCCATATATGTTCATGACACGATATATATATATATATATATATATATATATATACATATACATATACTGTCATTCTTAAGTTGAAAGTGTTATGCAGCTACTCAATGCAGAATGGAAAAAAATTACAACAGTTGCAAGTTAGACACTGAACTAACGAACAGGCTGGTGGTTCACAAGGCCGATGTTTTTGCTAAGCCAAGTGCGACCGCACGTTACGTCTGTCCACAGTAGCAAGCAAAGTGATAAAATACTATGCTTTCCGCATGGACCGGTAGCTTGCCTTAAGATTATCTAGGTAGTCGTCAGTCACAGTTTGACCGATGCGGCTGGCAAGCCCTCGTAAAGACAGACTCTCAGAGCTACCGAAGATTACTACAAATATAGTTCACATCCGTCGAGGAAAATAACGATTCCTTCTATTTCCTAGACATGCTGCTGCTATGAGCAACTGATGGACCAATTAAGTGATCGGTCTACCGGAACTTGACTTAGATCGAACAACTGACTAACTGAACAGCTGATTCGTCCCAATAAAATGCAAACGAAATTTGGTTTGCTGTCTCGCCGACAGCAAGGAAAATCTGTCCTGAGAGCATACTTAAAGCCAAATTTGACTAGCTAGCTTTCATCCTTACTTTGAGTTCCGACTAATAGTATGTCAGACCCCGCTAAACTAGGACGAGATTACTATTTGGAAAAACGTCGACAGAAAATCCGGACGGCAGCTCAACATCTATTACTTTCTGTACTGTGTTTATGCAACACAATTAGGGAATTCTTTAATTCTTTGTATGAGAGATGATTGCGGATCAAAATTCAAAAACAAGATAGTCCCGTTGGACTATGATTGAAGCTGTAGATAGATTACTCAGTGGAAACCAGACCGTTCGTGTTTATGGGACACTTCTGACGACGTTAGAGGGCTGTGCGACCACCGAGAGTTTGTACTTGTATTTACAAAAGGTTAACTTTTTTTCTCCTTTTCGTTTTTGTACAATGCGACTCTTCTTTTTTGCTGTTTCGGTTTTGCAACTGTACCATCTTTCTGGTTTTTGGCCTTAACAAAACCTGCTCTTTGACACTGCGATCGGACGTGGTTTTGCTATCTTGTGAACATGTTGTCCTGAGTCGATATGAACTTCGGGATCTGTAATGAATTAACAGTTCCACAACCGCTACACGAATGGATGGATGGATAGATAGATAGATAGATAGATAGATAGATAGATAGATAGATAGATAGATAGATAGATAGATAGATAGATAGATAGATAGATAGATAGATAGATAGATAGATAGATAGATAGATAGATAGATAGATAGATAGATAGATAGATAGATAGATAGATAGATAGATAGATAGATAGATAGATAGATAGATAGATAGATAGATAGATAGATAGATAGATAGATAGATAGATAGATAGATAGATAGATAGATAGATAGATAGATAGATAGATAGATAGATAGATAGATAGATAGATAGATAGATAGATTCACGACTGAACTCCCATTCAATATATATGGGCACCATAACAGCAATGCACTTTTCAACACTTAAATTTTACACATCCGATCAACCGGAGGTATGGTGTTTCGCCGCTTCGTGCGCACATACGGATTACGTATTCATTATGAAGCTAGAACGCCAGACGGAGTAAATTTCATCCCCATCTTGTGTGCTGAGTGGACCACTGTGCCATGATAGTGCCAGGGACAAGAGAAGTAAAAACCTATAAAATATTTAGGTGGAACGTTGATATCACTCAACCCACCTGACAATTCAAACGCCATAATGCACGTCAAAGGATGCCTTTAAATTCTAATTCTCGCACTAAGTAGAACTTCAGTTGAACCGTGCTGAGTAAGGCCCCGATCGCTGACGAGAAAACGGTAATTGAATGATTGACTACCGTACCACTAGTAGATGGTTTTAGATCTGCTCTACTGACTCTGCTTGTTTATGCATTGATATTTTTACAGGGCCACAGCAGTCTCCCTGTGATTTGTGATCAAATGATGCAAACATTTTGGTAGGAAGTGTTCTTATATGGGTAAATTTTATGGGTCTGGATGAATTGTATTCATCATTAGGTACGGTTTGCCTGAATTACTGGGATAGACACTTCCAACATCAGCTCAACTGAACATCTGCAGTTCCCGGATTCCCTACCAGCAACGCAGCCCCGAACGATGAATTTAGATAAGCATAGACATATGTATGTAAACATATGCCGAGAAGGATGGTGCTTCCCTGCGCGTTCCGGAGGGCCGAAAGTCTAGAGTTGGACAGAACGCGAAATCAAAAATTAATGACGCTTCGAAAGGTCTAGGTGCCGTTGATGCTGTTCACATTCTAGAATGAGGTCCAGATGAGCCCTCTTGTACCCGGCTGCAGACTTCGAGTGATGCGATAACTAACCTATCTCACTGGCGTGAATGCCCTCTGTCTCTATCTGAACTGTATGAGTGAGTGTTCGGGGTGTTGGCATCTAGGATGCTTCTTGTAGGCTAGCCCTAGATCCTCATTCTTTTTCCACTTTCTTCTTTTATTCGCAACTCTTTACTAGGGTGAGTTGACATGGTTGTAAGACAGTGAATTAGCAGTGCTCTCAAATGGCTTTGCTATTACCGATTCAGCTGCTGGTGTCTTTGTAGCACTTTTACGTTTGTCTAAATCCTATCCTCCAAAAGGGTTACCGGTTGCTTTTTAGTTCATCTTGGGAAGAATTTTTCTATGCACCTTGGCAGTTCACCCTATCTCTTTCGAAAGGTTGTACAAGTACTAGGGTATGCAGAATGCATGTCAATGTAGACTAAACATCTTGATTTCATAAAAAAGTCTATTCTGAGGGAGTGGTTCCCAGAGATGAAGCCAAGTTTCATTAGTGGCAGCCTCAAGTAATTTATGATCTAGAGTAGGTTATTAATTTCTTCTGAGAATTTGCTGGTTCCAAAAATCCGGCTCCATTTAAAGTTGCGCATTCAATTCGAACCAAAACTAGTCAGCTATACTGACACAGTGAAAATAGTTTGAAGGTTTCTTTTTATGCTTTAACTACCCTGCGGTATCAGCTTTCCCTATCGGCATTGGTTCAGGTAAAACATCACGGTGCCGTGGATAGACAGTTTGTTTGAATACCAAAATGCTTTGCATTTCGTCTCTGCTGGATCTGTAGAATCGCTTTGAGCTTTCAATGCTGTTCACTTTTTAGTTCGTCATACCTTGTTTTTGATTATTCTAGTTCCCATGGACATTCACCACATGCAACGTTTCAGTAAAAATGCTCACATCCAAAATTCAAATTAGATAACGTATCTTTTATGCATGCTGTTGTATAGAATAAAATTGAGAGACTTGAAACTAATAGGTTGTTTTCTTCAGGTAAATACCTCACAGTGAAAGTAAGCTGAAAAGTATGTTAGGCACATTCCGTTATATGTAAACACTTCCAGGCAGACGAAGATTGAACATCTGATTTGCATTTGAACGCACTAGGTTCACTACCTGAACGTAAGCATTTACGTATCACCGCGATTGTCCTGCAAAGAAATATTTTCAAGCACTCATGAAACGCTGCAAGCCAACTTAAGAAAGTTTCGTGACTTTTGTTCGGGAACTACTGCACCTAAGGTACACTAGCTGTGTACATCTTTTTGTAATATTACAATATTTCACCCAGGATTTACTCTGTATTTCTTGAAAGTGGATTCATTCATCCTCCGTCCACATCCACCAATCGGTGGTCGACCTTCTGCATCCAATCAAAAGTGTACATGGTGCTCAGCCATGCGGTACATATATTTACCAATGGAGTTACCCTTCAAACCTCCTTTGTACAGTACGCAATGAGCATTGAACCGTTAGAGTTTGTGCTTTCTTTCTAAATGAATGACCAAGACACAGTTACTTTCAGCCATCGAAATGATCGGTATGTGCATTTGTCAAGATTTCTGCACATGAATGATCAGCATAACACACAGATTTTCACGTTTCTACTGTTGCCTCATTTGCTGTGCAGTACACTGGAGGAGGTTGAGTCTGCGCCGTTTATCTATGCAGACCACCAGTGGATTGTGAGTTTTCGAAAGAGTGAGACACATTTGGGAGTGTTTCTGGAATTAGCTCTCACCAATTCCGATAGATCAACTAACCGAAAGCATAAAAGTCCGAGTGAGAATTCAAACAGCTATGTACAATGGAGGACTGTAACAGTGGATTTTCAGTGCACATTAAAAAATCCCGAACATTTTTCTAGAAATGAATTATTTGCACGTCGTGGATGTACGTTCAGCGCCACTCAGGCTAAGCACGGTCGTAGGCGCTTTATCGATCTGAGTCTGTTATCCTCAAAACACTTTTTGTTTGATGATGGGAAGTGTGTTTTCGAAATTGAACTGAAAAATCCGGATATTTTTCTTCACTTGTGGGCCTACCAGTGTCAAGATCCTGCGAGCTACTTCTCTCGTACAGCTGAAACCACCTTGTGTGAAAACCGAGCTGTTAAACTAATGCGGATGGATGGGTCAGTCATTCACTTTGACAAATCGCTCCACTTTGAGACGGAAAGCTTCGAGTTTTCGGACTCACCATGGATGGTTACAGTGGACATGGAACCCGGACATTTGGAAACAACCGAGGGTCCCACCACTGTTGACCCCGCGGATGTAACAGTTGCAGTGGAAATATGCCTTGTTCGAAAGACTACAAGGACAAGAGTCCACTCGGGTTCCACACCGAGAACTCACAACAAGCACTGCACCAACTTTTGCCGTCTAAAGTGTGTGGCCACTCTCCCGGGTGACTGCGTGACCGGAGTGATGGAGTTTTCCATCGGATCACAGGGTTGGCCCATGCAAGCGTACCGTACAACGTTTGAAAGGTCCGCATACGAGGTAAACTCTAATGACGAACTATCCGTCGGTTACATATCTCCAGTGGACTTGAATCCACAGGGGGCAAAACTGAAAACCTCAGGATCCCCAATTGCGTTACTACTCTCCACTATTTCTTCGCCATTCAGTGTTGGTTTAAGAATATTGTCAACTTCATATTTAACATTTTTGGAGGTACCCATATCGATGACTGATGAACAACCCAGATCAACGCATCTCACGGACCCATTTGATTTGCCTTGGTATATTCGCACCATTACGACTGGTCGCATTTTACGTATCAAACTTCAACCCATTTACCACCGAACATCACAACAGTCAAACAAAAGATCCATTACACCTACATCCTCAGAGACACATACGTGTTATCTTCCAGGTATCGCCTGTGTCTTGGGTGTGGAATTAAGGATCGATGCACTCACGCAGAAGCTGCACCCTCCAGTTTGCCCCTTAGGTATGGACCTTGTAGAGCTGATTCGGTACAACGCATATATGGATGCCTATGCACGAGGTTCATCTGATCCAGAGAGATGTACCAGGTCTAACGAACAGAAGACTCATTCGAGGAGTTCACAAGAAGAGTATGAAGGGCCTCTGGAAGATACATATGACGTTGTCATGGATATCGCGGTAGACAAAGTAAGTATGGGTATAGTGCTAATGCTTCGAATAAATATGGAAAGTAGTATATGTGTGACAGTCATAATGGTATTATTTTGATAGGCATATAAGTTTGTTGCATTTCACTTTCTGAGGCGATTCACTTGGTGTTTGTCAATCATTTAAGCAAATCTTCATAATATGTAACTCGTTAAACTGATGCAATCAACAGTGGACAGGGTCAGTACCTTAAGAAGTAACTTGGGGCAGAAGAACAAATCAAATTTTGGGTTGCGCACCAACTGTAACGCCTTATAACCGTTTTTGACGCCTCACTGAAATGTCCTCCAAGCCTGACCTCGCCAGGTAGTTTTTGTAAGCTTGTGTCATTGTACACCCCACAGTTACATTGTTTCCTATGCGTGGCTTCCTACAATCCAGAGGAACTTCCGTGTATCTCTAACTGAAACACTTTATTTTAAACGTGAATTTCACGTACTCAATTTGGGTAACTAAGACATTATGGATAACATTCACCCAACCAACTTAAACAAATAGGATAGGATTTGACAGAGGTGTATCACACACGACAGCAACTACCACCAAATCTAAAGACATAAAAATGAACGTATATCTAAATCAAGTTCGCAAATGATAATAAAAATCATGAAATAACAAGCACATGAATTTTTGTGGTTTGACATCCATACTCGACTGCTCATGACGAAAACCAGTTAAGCGTAGGAACCATTTATAACTCTCGAAATAGGTGTGTCCACTAGCTAAGCAGATATTCATCTGCTAAAAAAGCTTGAGGAAACTATTTGAAGTCTCAGAGATTTCCTTTTTTAGCATTCCGGGTAACGTCCAGTAAGTTAAGCACTTCTTTCAAAGGGGATATTGTACTTCATTATGCAGGTAACGTCGCTGGTGGGTACTTCAATAAGTAGTTGTATACATTGCAGACCACTCCTCCTGTTTACCTATCCAAGGCATATGTCTGTTAATATGTTTAATGCTTAGCTTCTTCAAAATTAAAATCCACCACACTATCAGCTTTGCTCATCTACATATGCTTTAGAAAAAATTTAGGGCGATTCTAGTGTAGGATTTACTTTGTCAGCAACCGGTAAGCTCGTGGTAAATGTGCGTACTGCATTGCTGGGTCATCGCTGGTTTGCTAATTCCCATGTGTGCTCTTAGGGCCTATTCCCATCCTATCATTTAAAACTGTATCACTTGGAAAGTTCGATTTGCGGGTAGGTATGTTACTCATTATTGTAACTTTAACAAGACAAAGTTCGGTAATCGGGAGGCTTAAGTTTGTTCGACAGTGCAAAGGAGAAGTTTAGGTATTCGTTCCAGGCTGATAAATCACCGCTACAGTTGGCCTAAGTTTAATTAGGACTGCAATATGTGACAACAGTGTTCGGATAATTACTTGACTTTTGTTCTCACCGTATAGGATAACTAAAGCTGGGGTAAGTTGGGTAGAGCGTTTGCAAATAAATTATTGTTCGTGTGATAACCCCTGAATATCCGGCAACACAAAGATTAGCAAAATGTTTGCCTGTGCTTTCTTAATTGAATTTTGATGTTTTGGTCAATTCAGTAAGTAATTTAATGTGTCACGAACAAGAAATGGCCTGCTAACAAACCTAATATCCGGCTACCAGTTTTCAAAAGTTTATAATTTGACTATGATTTCCACTTAGATGATTTCACTTCTCACGGTCAGGACCATTATTTTTCAGATATGTTTGCTTTACGTTTCCTCTTGAAAACCGTCATAGGGCCGAGCCAGCCTAGCTTGAAGACCATAAATATTCTTTTCTCTAGTTACCGGTGGATTTTTTCTGCTAAAATCTTTTTTTACGACTGCATCGCTCCGTGCTGGAAAACTGGAACAATAGACGTGCGAACATAATGTCAAAAAGGGGAGATTTTTGAAAGATGGAATTAACTTTATTGATTCTCATTAATCAATTCAGAATGAATTAAAAGTTCAAATATTGGACTCATATTTCACCGAACTAAAGTTTAGAATGTCTAATGGATGGATATATTGATGGATATATTGCAGACTGTTACTTGATATTGAGTTGCCACGTCGGTAGCTTTGTAGTACATATTGTTTTATAATGTAAATGCGTTGTTATGGTGGCCACGATCAGCGTACAATGGTAGAGGTTATCAATTTATTCGTTTGTTTTCGGATAGTGTATTTATCTACTTTGCTCTGAAAAGATTTTTGTCAACATTGATACCACACAAAGCTTATTTCTTAAGTATATAAGCTTCCATATTATTTTGAACCCTGTGATAAATATTGTGTGGGAAGAATTTGTGATTTATGTTAAATAGAATTCTTACAAGAGTTCTCCAATTAATTTCCCACTTTTGGATTCATTATGTAGGTTTGAACCCCCACTTTCAGCTGCATTGAAGCGCGCAATGGTCTCTCGTATGACAGAAAATCTTTGAGACCGGGCAAAATTGCGCTTTGTTTATAGGTGATCTCTCTTTGAGAGGGGAAGTTGAATTTAACACTGGGTACCTATACATTTTCGCTCATTACTCACCAATACAAGGAAAAAGAGTAATGAGCTAAAGTATTCCGAAAATGTCTGTTAAAACGATTTTCTTTTTAAAAGGATGCTTTTAATGTCACTCAAAAGTGACTTGAGCTGACAATTACCTTCTAATAATAGACGAAATTATCTTCCGCAGTGAGACGCATATGTAGGTCTTTTGAAGACAAAAGACATTCTCAGTGACGGTTGGAGATAGTGTGAAACTTTGCTGCAGCTAATTTTTCTATAGTCAAACGTGGTGAACATTAGTTGCTCAAGACTGTTGGTTCGGAGCAACTTTTGGTGGTTTCCTAGGAAACTTCATCTCTTTGATATAAAAATGGTCCCAGAATTTCTAAAACTTTATCGAATGGAAGCCCATATAATAATGCAAGTTCTTCAAAACATATGTCCTTGGCAAACAAAGAGAATTAAAGTTTTTCAGTGTTGCATTTTCTATAGCAGCCGGAAATAGACTCATAAGCTTTTTGTAATATTTTTGCCCCAAGAACTATATTGGTAATGGTTTTCAATATTAGCGTCGGTATCCAAACTTTGGAAACGCTGGTGTACAATGATATCTTGCTTTTAAGTCAGGCATTCAGAATATGGGTGACGGGAAATGTGACTTAGTTTAGATCGTGCCGAAAAGAAGGCAGGCGGTATCATTATTCATTTCTGGAATAATCGTTATCTATTTGCACGGTTTTGACGATTTCGTCGGCGTGACAGCAGCCATAGCCTTCGTTTATCATCAAGAAAATTACTATACGCTTAAAGAAAAGATTTCTCTTGTTATTTCCGCCAAGATTTTGACCTGAAAATAAACGTGGTTTATTTCAAAAGACAAAGGAGGATTATACAGATATTTTCGGCATTGGAAATTTATCATCAGATATTGGTTGAAGACTAAACCTTTCGTCTGTGAGTGGCTGCCAGGAGTGTGTTAGGCTTGCACTCACAACACTTATAATGGCGACAACCCGATTGGGCTCCCAGTTGAATGTATACTTCATGAATCGGTCTATGCGATTAGTCCTGTAAGAAAAAAACTAGAAAAACAAATCAATGGTTTCGAGGTCCATAAAAAGTCCATATTGGTTTGTCATTAAATAAAAAAGAATCTCGGCATATTTGAGTAAAATTATTTATGCAATGTTTTAAACGTATTATCCTGAAACTCCTGAATTCTCAGTTTTAGTTCATGAGCACAGTTTTTAGGACTTTCCTATTACTCGCAAATCAAGGTAAGTGAAAGGCGACAACACAATCAGAAATTCTGTACGTTTCCTATCTTTGCGATGTCATTTTGTGGTGGTACTTGCATATGATTAGTAAATCATTAGTCTCTATATTCAAATCCACTAAACATTCCATCGGCTATAAACACCCGATTCACCTACAAACCGTCATTTTTACTTGCTAGTTTACACAAGAAAGCATGCGCATTATAAATAATCTGCACACACACACTCCGAGTCGAGCACTCTGTGGATGTGAGATACGGATACAATAAGGGCACGTAATTGTTGGGAATGTATGGTTAACTACTCTAGAGTATTTTGCTGATTTTTCCGAAAACCTTAGAAATTCGAGGTCCATAAGAAGTCCATATTGGTTTGTCATTAAATAAAAAAGAATCTCGGCATATTTGAGTAAAATTATTTATGCAATGTTTTAAACGTATTATCCTGAAACTCCTGAATTCTCAGTTTTAGTTCATGAGCACAGTTTTTAGGACTTTCCTATTACTCGCAAATCAAGGTAAGTGAAAGGCGACAACATAATCAGAAATTCTGTACGTTTCCTATCTTTGCGATGTCATTTTGTGGTGGTACTTGCATATGATTAGTAAATCATTAGTCTCTATATTCAAATCCACTAAACATTCCATCGGCTATAAACACCCGATTCACCTACAAACCGTCATTTTTACTTGCTAGTTTACACAAGAAAGCATGCGCATTATAAATAATCTGCACACACACACTCCGAGTCGAGCACTCTGTGGATGTGAGATACGGATACAATAAGGGCACGTAATTGTTGGGAATGTATGGTTAACTACTCTAGAGTATTTTGCTGATTTTTCCGAAAACCTTAGAAAAAGCAGCATATAGCCTGCAGCATAGCTTGAGAAGACGGACGTAAATTTCACGCACAATGGTTGAGTTAGCTTTGAAAATTGCCTGCAAGTCTTTTTTAGATCATGCTAAAATACTTCAACAGAGCATTTAAAAGAAAAAAATCCGCTTGATTAAGTGCATTTTTTAGTGAAAAGTTTATTTTGGAGGTAATACAGCTCAACTAAATGTAATGAACTGAAGCGAAAGTAGCGTTGAACAAGGGAAATTGCATACCACCATAAGAAATCCGATGATCAGACGGCAGGCAATCTGGAGGATGAAGGCGGTGTCCATAACTCTTGATAAAAGCCCAGAACGAACAGAATGAGTTATTCAATTT